CATGCAATTGGTAATTAATATTAAGCCTCTGAATGATTATTTTATAAGCTGCTAAGGGATCACAAGGCCAGGTGGAAGCAGAGGAACATTCTGGCTACACACAGCAGATAACAACAGTCTGTAATTTCGGTTCCAAAAGATCTGATGCCCTCTTCTGGCCTTTTTGGGCACCAGGAATGAACTTGGTACACAGACACACATGCCGGCAAAAAACTCATACACAGAAGATAAAATAATAGATTATTTTTAAAATAAAATCAATAATTATATACAATAATAATAATAAAAAGCAAACATCAGTATGCACATATCTAGAAAATGTTTATTTGTAAATAAATTTGATATTCATTACAATTGGGAATGTAAACACCTTTTTTTTTCTTTTCTTGTATTCTGTGTCTTTTACATCATGTGTCTTGATCCCATTCATTTCCCAGTCCCTTTGCATCTGTCCTCCACCCCTGCACCCCTGCTCACAAAGTACAAAAAATTTAAGAGGAAAGAGGGAGAAGTGGGGGGGGGGGGTAAAAATCTCATCATGGAAGGTGTAGTATGACACAGTGTGTCAAGCAGTAAACCCTCTGAGTATCTTGCAAGTGTTCATTGCAAAGAGTCATTGATCTGGTTTGAGACCTTTGTTTTCTATCATACTATGGATGCTAGGTCTTCACTAGGACTCTCCTTGGATATCCTGTTATTGCCCTGTGTTGTGGAGATCCTGAAGCTTTGGGTCTGTGGGTCAGGCCCTTCACATGCTCCAGCAGATCGTAGATGGGGTGGATGTTAGTGTGGGCCAAGTTAAACCAGGTTCTGGGCCTGGGCTACTGCAGGGTTGTTTTGCCTGTCAGCTCTCCCCTGTCCTTGCCATCAGGGTGAGCTCTCTGGAGTTGCGCTACCTAATTCACGTCTTGCAGCAATGATCAAGGGGCCAGTTCTTCTGCTTTCATGCCCCAGGATCTGTTCTTCCACACCTACACCATCAGGGCCAGCTCTATTGTGTTGCCCCATGTGTCTTCTCTATTGCAGATGGTAAGGGGCAAAGGGTAAGGGGGGGCATTTCTCCCCTAACCATACTATCTCATGATAGGCAAGTAGTGGGGGCAGCTCTCCCATGCTTACAGCTTTGAGGTTGGCTCACTCACATCTCTGCCAATAAGGATGGCTCTATTGTGCTACCCTTGTGAGGTGCAGGGCCTGCTCTCCCAAGT